GGTCTGTGAGAAGGGCTGGTCAGCAGCCCCACGGAGCTTTCTCTGGCCACCAGGACACGGTTTCTTGTGGGCTCCAGGTCCGCTGCTGTATTTTTCTGACCCCAGATAGGGAGGCGGGTCTCAACCGCATCTGAGCCAGGAAACCGTTCACCGCTGCGGCCCGCCCCCTGCTCTGTCCCTCAGGCAGAAGCTGCTTCCTCCTGGCTGGGCTTTCCTTTTCTGTTTTTAACATTTATCTGTTCACACATACAAGAACTGGGGTGCAGGCCAGAGGTTGGGGGGTTGAGAGGACTCACCAGAGACAGAGCGGGGAGCAGAGCAGGCGGATCGACTGAAACCCACTGCTGAGGGGGGCAGTGGGGAGACAGGCGAGGTCTGCAGCGCCCTGCGGGTCACTCCCTGGATCGAACTCGTGCTGCAGGGGCTGAGGGAGCCCCACCATGCTGCGCCTCAACCCTGCAGTTTAACCCAGGGGAGCCCCTGGCTGCACTCTCGTGGCTGTTACGTGGCAGGGGGGTTGGTGGCCCAACTGCTGTTGCTTTGCTAAGGCTGGAGAGGAGAGTCTCTGGTCACGAGGGACTCTATCTTTCCGAGTGGACAATTTGGCCTCCTCACCAAATCTTGACAGTCCATTGCAGTTATCTCAAATTGAATCACGCACTTTCAAAGCTCGGTGCACACTCTCCTTGGACACAGTCAGAAAGTCTTTCCCTTTTCCCAAAGGGGAGAAAACAGGAAGAAGGGCGAGAGCCTGGCTGCTGGAGTACCTGACGCGCTGTGCACGTCAGTCAAACGTCTCAGTGACTACAGATGTCATCTGCGTGCTGAAGGGCCCAGGTCTGGGGCATGTTGCGTAAAATGTGGAATAAAAGCAAAGGCGCCCTGTGTCTCTTTATCTTTAATGTGGCTGCTAGACAATCATTCATTAGACTCGTGGTTTACGCTCGATTTCTCTAGAAGGCACGCTTTGCACTTTGTCTCTTTTCATCCTGTTTTCAGACACAAAGGGAGCGCTAGGACCTCCTGGATGGGGTGTGAATGCGTGAGCGTGCCTTTTGCTTCAGATCAGCTGAGGTGGCAGCAGGCGGCTGGAATCCCGGTGTGTGCGGGCGGCGGAGGGTGTTCTGGAGAGTGAGCCAGTTCGCGAGTGTGGGTCTGGAAAGGAGAGCAGATGTGGGCAAGAGTCAGTGTTCTGAACACTTCTCCATCTGGGGTTCCCAGGGTGAGCGGAGACCGCATTTCCAGGGCTAGGTGACAGCAGGATGGGCGTGGTGTTCGCGCGGCCAGATGCGGTGAGGGTCAGGCTGTTGCCCACATCGGTTCCTTCCCTCACGGGGCCTTGAAATAAGCAAAGCTTTTCGGGTGGAGCTGAGATGGGAAACTGGGGTGGGCAAGGGGGGTGGGGGCCTGCCCCGAGCCTGGCTGCCCTGCCCCAGGGTGGGCTCTGAGACGCCAGGACACCTCCCGGGTCAGGGTCGTCCAGGCACACACATGAAGACTCCCGGCCATTTCAAAAAATTGTTTCTGTCCACGGACATAGCTGGCGTGGAACATTGCGTCGGCTTAAGTTACGAAGCGTGCTGACTCTGGCCGGCCCTCCCTGGGCTTCCGCTCTCCTAAGACCCTCTTGACCCAGAGCGGGAGGGAGGATGGCTCCGGGCAAGGCCTGGATCCCTAAAAAGAGGCCTCTGCTCCTTGGCCCCAATATTGCTTCATCTGCCTCGGTTACAAACCTTCCGGTGGGCGGGGATGTGTGGACACATCGGCTGGCGGGTGCCATGGAGGCTGAGGAAATCCACACATGCCAGGAGGCAAGATGCAGGCAGCAGGCTCCAAAGACAAGAGGCGGAGAGCGCCCGACGACAAAAGAGGTTGGGCACCTGCAGGTGGGGAGGCGCAGGTTAAGTCTGGAGGCTGCGAGGGGGCTGCGGCCAGGGGGCGCCTCCCCCTGCCCCCCCCCGTGTGCTCGCATCGAGACCCTCTCCCGGAAGCAGATCTTCGCTCCTCATTTCTTACCCCCAGAAATGTGGGTTTGGGTCTCTGAGCCCCCACTCCTGGCCAGAGCTCTGGGCAGGCTACCCAAAGCCTTCCCCCCACTGACCCACCCACAATTGCAGATGACCCCGACTATGAGAACATCACCTCGGCCTTCAGAAGCCAAGACAAGCCGCCCAAGAATCAAGGTAAGCGGCACCCCCTCGGGGGGCGGCAGGGGGCGAGGGGTCGACTCATTGGCAGAGCGTGGTCACGTCCAGGCTGGTGTGGGCAGTGCTGGGGCTTTGTAGGTGGTGACAGTGGTCTTGATCACGCTGGTGAAAGTGTGGGTGACAGCACTGTGTGGATGTGGGGGTATCCAGAAGGCACAGGGCAATGCTGTGCTGGTGAGCCCTGGTGATGAGGACAATCGAGGGCGCGGATGTGGGCGGCTGGTGGTGACTTTGGACAATCGGTGGCTGTGCCGTCGATGGTCCAGGCAGCAACGGTGTTGGGAGCTGGCATGGGTGCTGTTGACAGGGCAGCGGGTGGTGCCCAGGGTCAGCGCTAAGGGCCTGAGCTGGCCTCTGTCCCAGGCAGGTCCCGGTCACCCCCAGGTGGGGACCAAGCTCCCCCCTGGCTGTACAGAGTGCTCCTGAGTGTGTATGCACTCCTGGCGCTGGCTTTCATCTTCTGCATCATCCTCTCGGCCTTGGTTCTGGTGAAGAGTGAGTGAGCAATTCTTGCTGTTTTATTTTTGATGGCGGGGGTTGGGGGTAGGGACAGTGGGGAGCCCCCAGGAGCTGTGTCACCTGCTCCCTTCCCCCATTTCCTCTGCCTCGCCCCCACTTTGCTCCAGTGCTGCAGAGGTGAGGTACTTCAAGGGTTCCCTGTCTCCCATCCCCACCCTGAACAGGTCACGGGCTGTCCTGGGAGCTGCAGAACTTGAATAAGAACTTGAACGAGGAGCTGTGGAATGGTGACATCCCCGTCACCCAAGGGTGGCCCAGGGGCTGGGGTGGGGGCAGGGAAGGTGGCTGCGATACAACTCGCCTCCCCCCACCTCCCACCCCCCAGTCTCCAAATCCGTGAAAGACTGCCAGGCAAGCCTGAAATGGGACATCCAGAAGGGGCTCATCGAGGTCAAGAACGCCATCAACCACAGGAATGAGAAACTGAAGATGGTGCCAGAAGGTGCCTGGGCAGAGCATGGCTGGGTTCCGGGGAACCTCAGGCGAGGGACGGCCAGGGCCCCCCTCCCAGAGCCCTGGGTCTGGAGAGGCCCTCCGAGCCCTTCAGCGGATGTTTTAGAAGGTTTATTTATGCACACAGAACTGGGGTGCAGGCCAGAGGTGTGGGGGTGAGAGGACTCCCCAGAGACAGAGTGGGGAGCACAACAGGCGGATCCACTGAAACCCACTGCTGAGGGGGCAGCGGGGAGACGGGAGGGGGCTGCTGGGCCCGGGACCCGCCTGGCGCTGCAGGGGCTGCGGCAGCTTGGGGTAGAGTAGCGCCGTCAGGGGATAGTGAAATCCTGCCGGCACCTCAAGGTGGGAGTTGGGCAGGGAGGGGGCTTTCAATGAAGGTGAGGGCCTGTCTGAGCCCCTTCTTCCCCCCGTCCTGCCCTGCCTTCCAGACCTGATGGACATCAAGAACAATTTACAGAAGGTCTTGCAGTTGCTGCAGCAGCCCCTTCCAAGTGAGCTGGGGCTGCCCGGAGGGAGGGGGGGCGCCCGCTTGACCCCAGCTTCCGTCACAGGGGTGGGGCTGCCTAACCCCAGATGTCCACCCCACCAGGGCCCACAGCTCAGTAAATGAAGACATTTGACGCCAGGCAGCAGCTTGGGGGCATCTGCATCTGCTGGTAAAGACAACCCCAGCCTGGCGCGAACCTGTTCTTCACCCCCAGACCCCAAGCCGCCTGTGGGGGCGCTGGTGCGCAAATGCCGCAGTAGAGGGCCGGGTGGCCTCCGCGGGCATGCCAGGCTGCTGTCCTCCCCGAGTGCCCAGCGGGCGCCTCCCTCGGCGGTGGCTGTGTGCGCGTGAGCGTCGTGTGTGAATGTGTGGGGCTCGCTGGGACTGTGGTGGGGGCGGCCTGGCACTACCTGTGCAGCCAGGTGAGTCCATGTGACTGCCCCCGTGACGTCCCCAGCTGAGTTCGGGGTGCACAACTCGTGGCCCTTTGTTTCTGCACCCACGTTTTGTGATTCATGATGATAAAAGCCCCAGGAAAACAACGTGTCTCTCAGATCTGTCCTGGGGTGACCAGGGGCCTTTGGAAAGTGGTGGATGGTCTAGAAATGTTAGGGCTTGCGGGAAGGGGAAAGTCATGCTGTGCACATGGGACAGGATGCTGAGGGACCCTGGAATGAAAACCCTGTGCGGGCCCTGTGTGTCCAGGAAGGCGGACCCGGAGCGTGCCCGCCCCCCGGCGTGCCCAGGAGGGTTCAGGGCTGTGGTCTGAGGTGTACAAAGTCTGCCGGTCCCTAGATACGAAGCGCCTGAGCGTGTGTCCACGCGTGCACGAGCTGAGTGTGCAAAGCCCACAGCTCAGGGATGCACGTCCCTAAGAAAATGTGTGTCCAGGGACAGAGGGGCGCCTGTCGTCCAACGTTTGCCCCTAAGCTGGGGGCCACCG